CCGTCCTCGCCTGTGTGTGCCCTGCGTCTGTCCAGACCGTCCTCGCCTGTGTGTGCCCTGTGTCTGTCCAGGCCGTCCTCGCCTGTGTGTGCCACTGTAGCAAACTTGTACTTTTTACTTTTGCTTTTGCGTGTGACCTAGAAGTGGTCATGTGATCCAGTTCTGCTAATATACTTACGGGGAAATTGTTGGGACCACCTTGCATCCACGAGGCAACAAGACCAAGGGGGACACCCAGGTGAGGATAACCAGGCAGATGAGCGAAAGGAGCCAGAGGAACCATCTCCTTCCAGCCTGTACGGTGCCAGCCTACCGTCTCCTGATTCCCGTCCTGCCCTTGGGGCCTGAAGCAGCCCTTCACGAAGCTTCTCGGCCTCCCCACCCTCACTGCCCTATGGGTCTCTCTGTGGCTCTAAAAGGAGAAAACAATCCAAGTTGCTGTCTTCCTAAGTGTTGGTGGGAGAAATCCGCCACAGATGATAGGAAATTGACACAAACCATGAAGGGCAGGATCCGCCACAGCCTAAAGAACAGGCCCAGCGATTAGTCATAACCCTTCAGGCCCCCTGGACACAGATCAGGAAGGATAAATAGTTCTGGAAATTTCCATATGCATATGAGCCCGAGTCTTCTCAGCCAGGGCTGAGGCATAACTTCAAGAAAAAAAAAAAAACATGGCGGGGGAGTTAGTGCCTGAGATCCAGAGCCCAGAGAGTGAGAAATCAGGATAGGCCAGGTGAGTAAATTCTGAGGCAATGACCAGGATCTGCAGCTGGCTGTTGGAGCAGTTTGTGGCATCCGGAGCCAGCAGGTGCAAAGGCCATGCTCAGGAGGAGACGGCCTTAGTGTTGTTTTAAAATGGTCCTCTTGGAAAAAAGGCTATCCCTGCTTCTTCCCTTCTCTCTCTCTCCTCTCTCCCTCTCCCTCTCCCTCTCCACCCCCCAACTCCCTTTTTCTACCTTTGTTCAAGTTGGCAGGAGCCGGAAGTGCTGCTAAGTACCAGGAGGCTGGCGGTGTGGCTCAGTGGGCAGAGCACTTGCTCAGCAGGCACAGACCCCGGCTTGGGCCCCCAGCACCGCCTAAACCAGGCATGGTAGTACATGCTTGTAATCCTACCCCTTGGGAGGTGGAGGCGGAGGACAAGTCCGAGATCATTGGAGAAGCTGAACTCAAGGCCGGGCCCTTCCTCTTTGAAACTCTGTTTTCTAAATTCAAAAGCCAGGCTTCTCCTGGAGCCTCAATATACTCATCACGTCACCCCCATTATAAGCAGACTCTAGGAAAAGCCACCCTCCCTCTGGGGCGGCTCAGAATAACCCCAGGGGCCCAGCCAGGGTTGTGTTGAGTCAATGAGAAGCTGTGACGCAGGCTGACACGGGCCCTCAGGATATGCTTCGTGTGCCCCACTGTGTATATGGAGCTGGGTCCCAAATGCCAAGGCCAGTAGCTCACATCTGTCTCTTGTAGACTCCATTCGCTCAATGGGAATAGGCTAAAACCAGCAAAGTGGATCTCAGCTTATAAAAGGGATGAGGAAGATGAGTCACCAGAGAGGGGAAAAACAAACCAAACCAAACCTCCTGTGAGGTAGAAAAGGAGAGAAGGCTTGGGCTGGGAGCTGAACCGGCAAAAACGGAGCATTTCAATGTGTGCCTTGTGACAGAATCACCCCCCCCCCAATATTTTTTGTATGTACAGAACCAGAGATTGAACCTTGGACCTCACATATTCTGGAAAGTGCTCTCTCACTGAGCCACACCCCAGCCCCTCACTGGGGCATTCTAGGCAGGGGCTCTACCACTGAGTCACACCCCAGCCCCTCACTGGGGGTTCTAGGCAGGTGCTCTACCACTGAGCCACACCCCAGCCCCTCACTGGGGGACTCTAGGCAGGGGCTCTACCACTGAGCCACACCCCAGCCCTCTTTTGACTTTTGATTCTGAGACAAGGTCTTACTGAGTTGCCTAGGCTGGCCTGAATCCCACTCACATCCTTCCTCCTGCTTAGCCCCCTGAGTCACTGGAATTACAGACTTGCCAAAGCTATTGTTGACACTTTTTAACCCAAAGTCTTCTCCCACCCTCGCCCCCCCCCCCAGAAAGCCTCCCTACAGAGATCACAGCTTTGCAGTCTCTTAAATCCAATAAAGGGAACCAGGAGCTTCCCCTGTCCCTCCACATGAGGGCTTTACACCATGCAGCCATGGGGTGAGGTGTTCGAGCCTCTCCCTCAACCTTCACGGGTCTCTTTCCTGTGGTTCTCTGATGAGAAGCACCGGGCCCGCCGTCTCTGCCAGTTTCTCTTGTAACTTCCTCTCCAGGCCCCCAGCCGCCTTCAGCCACACCCCCCACCGCTTCTCACAAGTGCACTGTCGCATCCATGTCCCTCACTCGTGACCAGTGTAGGCTTCAGATGACTTAGCTAACGGTATCTGGAATGAAAGCCGGTACAGTCAGTAGATTAGGATTCTGACCAAAGTTCTTCCCCACCCCTTATCTCCCCAGGGTCTCTGTCTGCAAGCAAACCCCAGCTGTCTATTAGCTGCAAGGCCCTGGTGAAAGGGATTCATTGACGTGCCCCCACGAGCGGAGGGCTTTTCTCCAGTGTGAATTCTCTGACGTTGAATGAGTTTCGTGACCTTGAAAGCC